TTTTTTGGTGGGTTCGAATCCCGCCTTATGCACAAAATGTTTTTTTTTAAATCAATTTTTAAATCCATTTTTTCACTTTTTTTTAAATCCGTTTTTTATTAGATTTAATCTTCCACGATAAAGCAATTCAATCTTTCACACTAGGAAAATAAATATTAATTCATAGCAGCTTATAAGCCTGTATAAGTTCGACGTTATCAGTCATATAAGCGATATCGATCAGCGAAAAGTAGAGCTATGCTTTCCTATCTTTCCATGGCAAATTTTGCTGACAAGAACATTTACTGCACTTGGACCTMTATATCATATGCCCGCAAAGGACTAGTGGGTGGTGCTGTAAAGACTTCTGGGTACTATATTGCGTAATTTCTGCATTTTCTGACAAGGAAAATGGAATGCTACCCCAGTAAATATCATAATAACAAAAGATGGTAAAAAGATAATTGAATGGTGATTCTGACTAAGAACATTGGGATATTTGATCTTGTTGACATGCATAACGCAAAACTGTTTATTTCACAGCCTAAAAAAGGGCAGAACCTGCAATTATTTTAATAATATGTAGAGAACGCATTTGTCTTATACGAGTTTAACGAAATCTTCTTTTCTGTGAAACCATATCTTTTGGCTAACATTGCAAACGTCTACAGCTGTACTAGGCCTCTGTGCATGATACAGGCAACCCAGTGAACGCCTTGTTTATCTTTAAATATGGAAGCTTATCAACTGCGCGTCAATATAGTTAAACGGTCTTCGTTCTCTGTTAGGGCACAGGAATTTCCAGCATATGACATCAAATATGAGTTGGTCTTTAGCACAAGAGGTCCAAAAAGGTTACTCAACATTGTGCCACAATGGAAGAGATCCGGCCTAAGAAATTTAAACCCGAATTTTGGTACATGCCCATGCCCTGGYACTGCCCCTCTACAACGAACTATGAACACTAATAACTCATTATTTATTTATTTTGTCATCAGTTTTAAATTAAATATTACAAGGGTTTAGGTGCCCACTCAGTATGCAGTAKGTGGAGGTAGAAATCACAGACTTTTTAAGTTTACATTACATTGATGTAAAATCACCATTACTCTTATCCTATTAATCATACAGCTTCTCATTAATCCCATATAGGTAACTGTCCAATTATTTTCTTAATTGGACAAGTCTTGTTGATGTGGGATTAATTAGGCAGCTATATAATTAATAGGTAATGGGATTTCATGCTCCCCAATCAAGAAATAATTATACTCGAAAAATTTCCTCTGACTGCCAAATTGGACTCGGCCTACGGCTTCATCCAGTTTTGGAAGTCCTCGGAATTTTCCTCGTCCAATTATTTCTTAATTGAACAGCATGGAGTCYTATTACATAAACTAACTATATTTAAGCATCCATTAATTATTTTGTCCCATGGTTATCCAAAAAAAAATGGTTCAAAACTTTGATAAATCTGACCAAACTGTTGTGTGCTTTATTGCCGAAAGAAAACTGTTTTTGATACACTGCTGTACCCTTCAATCCATACCCACCGACCATTACCAAGACCTGGCCTGTTACAAGGCTTTGGTTCACATGGTTGAAGGCTACAGGAACGGACYTCTACGTAACCTATTTTACATTTCTGGCATTCCTCTACGTGCTCGTGTTCGGAAGGTTTGAGAGCACATACGCGCCATTGCATTCCACCGCCACATGTTCTGGTGCAGCTACTCCATTCCATGTACTCTCCTCTGTTAGAAGGAGCCGGAGAAGCCGTGGGGTGGGGGGACGAGATTAAAAGAAATACAAGAGCAAGAAAAAAGAACGAAAAACAAAGAAGAAAGGAAAAATTAAATAAACTAACGAACAAATTGTTTTTGGATTTAAGATTTGCATTTCTACTCAATGAATCAAGGCATAAACCAAAGGGTATGCTTAGCTTTTTTTTTATCCATTTACAGATTGACAATGCCTTGTTGTGCACTTAGATTTTTTTATGCAAAACCATAGTCGTTGCTCCTTGACGTATCTGAGGCAACACCAGTCAACTCTCAGTCCTTTTCTATGTGATATCTTCTCACAAAGAAAGACTATACTTACAAGAGAATATGAACTAAGAGAAGGAATCCTACCTATATAGCCTTGTAACCATCATGTTCACAGTTTGATGCTATTTTTAGCTTGAGATATTTTGAGCAAAGAACCTGATTGGTTGATTTCTTGAGGGTAGGCGGCTTCCAGTCTTGCAGTAAACAAAAGCCTGTGTTTTTGTCGTGGACGTAGCGAAATATGGCGCTTTTCGTGTCCTAAAACGAGGCATTTAAAGGGAAGCATGATTATCGCGCGGGCATGGTAACGAGTTAAAAATAGCATCAACAATTCTAAAAATAGTATCAAAGTGTGCACATGATGGGGCACTGGGATTCCTTCTCTCAGTTCATTTTCTCTTGCTACTTATCTTTAAATGGAATAAAAGAGAATAAATAAATGAATAAATGGGATTCATCAATAGCATTTCTACAGAGTAGCCTTTCGTGTACTGAAATTCTTTATTGTACACTTAGATTATTATTTTTTGTATTAGCCATCAACTAAAGCATATGCATGTTTAACGTACCTGAGACGCAACACTTCATTTAATATAGAGCAAAAAGATCTCCGACTTCCGTCGGCGCAATTTTGCGCAAGACTTGCCAACGAGTGAGACTGCTAGCAGAGAACTGAAGCTAGGGAMAAACCTTGTCCCTCTCACGTTGAAGAGAGAAGACCCTGGCGTTGTTTGGTCACAAAATGATTTTGATTGGCTAACTTCATCCTGAATTTTGATTAGTCGTTGCTTTTATTCTCTCTTCAACGTGAGAGGGCCCTGGGACGAGGTTGGTGTGCCTGTGGTATCCAAGTCAGGAACGCCTGACTTTGATTATCATCATGGCGAAAATTTTGACTTACAACTTCAAGTGTCTCATTTTATTTGTAGCAGTTCTGTGTCTTCTACTAATTCTGTATTTACATCTTCCGAGAAAAGAGACACATGATATTCAAGTGGTCGATATGGCCATGGCTGCGTCTGCACCTTCAAGCTCGATCGGTTTATTTACTCTGAATATTTGGTTCGGCGACTTCAAGATGAAACAAAGAATGGCTGCCATTGGAAGAACTGTGAGTGACCTAAAACCAGACATTATAACTTTTCAAGAAGTAACAACCGTTAGCTTAAAATTACTGAAGAGYCAAGAATGGTTTCCGTTGTATAAAATGGTACCCGATAAAATCCTTGAAAACCAAGGATACTTTGTAGTTATTCTCAGCAAATTTGAGGTCGTAAAATGGAGGAGTTTGCCTTTCAAGAATTCAAGAATGGGACGAAATCTTCTAATTGCRGAACTAAAAGCAAACATCCAGGCTTTAGAAGACGGAAATAAAATTGCTGGGCAGAAGATATCTAATAGTAGAAAAGGTAGTTATATTTATCTTACCATTGCAACGTCACACCTCGAAAGTATGGCGTTCACAACTAAAGAGCGCGAAGCCCAGCTCCAACAGTCTTTGCAAATATTGTCCGAGTACGATGATGTTTGTCTAATGGGTGATCTGAATCTTGAACTGAAAGTTGATGGCGAAGTTTATCTCCCAACGCCTTGGATTGACACTTGGTTGTCAATACCTGGAAATTCCCATTCAAATGGCTATACATGGGACCCTGCTATGAACTCCAATGCCCAAGTTAGTGAGCCAAATACCACGAAAGATCGCTTTGATAGAGTATTTTGCAAGCTTCTTAATTTTTCAGTTAAAAACATGAGCATTATTGGGACTGAACCACATGATGGAGTGCATCTAAGTGATCATTTTGGAGTATTCACTAATTTAACTCATAAAGAGAGAGCCATGACAGGTGGRCCAAAAGTGGTTAAAGAAGCAAGGTTCATACGACCAAGAGGATGGGAAAAATATCTGAACATCTAAATATAGACTTTGCTCATCTGGGCCCAGTTGTACAAAGCCAGGATAGTGCTATCCAATGGATAAATCTTATCCAGGTGATAAATTTATTGGATAAGAGAATCGACTTATCCCCTGGTTAAGGATTTTAATTGACCAGATAGYGCTATCCAGGTTTCGTACAACTGGGCCCTGGGCTACAGGGATCCCACTTCAGACAAAAGAGGAAGATAAAAATATAAACGTTAAGGTTAATATTATGAATTTATTATTGCATAGTGTGCACATAGACTTTTTTTGAGTTCATTATTACGGATTTCATTGAATTGTGGCACGCATTAAAAAATTYGTCTGCGAATTTGCCTACGTGACTCTGCCCACTTGGAGGTGTGAATTTGTCTACATTCCTTTCTTGTGAAATGCAYATTGGACATCAGCAAACTTGGTCGTGTTTACAGTAGGGGAAGAGCATAACTAGTGATTTGATATCTCTCGTCATAGATGAGATTGTTGAAAGTGGTGGGGATATCATGATTCTTTCCTGGAAAATTTGCAGAAATTGCTCGAAAACTTCCCCCGCCTCCATACTCAACTTTGAACTCAAACCTTCTGCTCACCGCCATAATTTCGAATTGAACGTTCCACGGGAATAGCCAAGAAATGAATGCAGACAAAATCACCTCCAGCGTCTCGTAGGCAAATTCGCAGACGAATTCTTTAATGCGCGCCACACTTCAATGAAATCCGTAGTAAACACAATGGACCAAGAGGATGGGGAAAATATTTGAACATCTAAATATAGACTTTGCTAATCTGGGCCACAGGGATCCCACTTCAGACAAAAGAGAAAGATAAAAATATAAACTTTAAGGTTAATATTATAAATTTATTATTGTATAGTGTGCACATAGACTTTTTTTGAGTTCATTTAACACAATGAACCAAGAGGATGGGAAAAATATCTAAACATCTTTAGAAATATAGACTTTGGTCATCTGGGCCACAGGTATCTCACTTCATACAAAAGGGAAAGATAAAAATATCACCTTTAAGGTTGATATTTTAAATTATAATAAGTAAATGTGGTGACTTGGCTACACCTTGTGTTTTTAATCCTGATAAAACACTCGTTCTTGTTTATAAAACACCACTTAACACACTAAAGCAAAGACGTAGKGACATGAAACTTTTTTTATTTCTTATGAATATAATTGTGCACAGCATTTTTCATTGCATGACTACTATGCAATATATTATTTTAGGGGCTCAAACTTCTATGAAACATTAATGTAGTGAAAAATTCTAGAAAATCGTACTATAGTAACACAATATTTTGCATTGCGTCAGAATTTTGAAAATTAATGACTAGGTCTTTTAGTATTAGAATTGAAAATCACAATACCCAAAATACCTATGACTAGAGAGTAGAGAATAAAAGTGTGAAAAAAATCAGATACCAGTGAAAAACATTTGCTCACGGTCCAAATCTGTGATCTATGTGAATTAGTCAAAGTCTTCATGCCACTGTCAAAATTTACAAAATTCAGAATAAAGATCGTTTTAAGGCTATGTTCATAATGTATAGCAGAGTGGGGGGGGGGGAGGGGGGAGATGAAAATTTGAAATGTCCAGAATAATTCTTAACACCCCCCTTAAAGTCATAAGAAAAAAAAAAGATCCCCTTAAGCAAGGCTTGTAGTTTCTTCCAAAAAATGTGCACCCCCCATTTTTCCTACCAAAATTTTCCCAATCCCCCCTCAATTTCACCTGCCCCCCCTCTGCCATACATTATGAACGCAGCCTAATATTACTTGCCGGCTATGGTAGACCTCATAATCACTGTTTGAACAGTGAATATTGTCTCATAATCACTGGTTGTTTGACCAATCACAGCGAGCTAAACTCTATATTCAAGTCTAGAATTATACTAATTGGTAATATTATCAGAGTGATTTTACTTGGCCAATAATAATATAGTAAGCATATGATACATTTTTATTAATAAACACTAACTCCATCGTTTTACTTTGAATGTTAGTCACTTATTACTTTAAAATGCACACTATAAACCCATGTAACAGCATTAAAACTAAATTATTGTACTAAATTGCATAAAATTCATTTACCCCATTCACACCTAAACGTGTTTAGTTAAACTATGTTTTCATTAGGAAAAAAAATTGAGAAACTGGAAACCTACAATATAATGAAACTTCGTAAAATATTATCAGAGCAAGACAAAGGATAGTTTACATGCATTATTTCACCAAATATTGTGCAGTGTTCGTAGATAGTTTTCCAAACTTGTTTAGTTAAACCACTTTAAAACATTTTAAAGCCTTGGTGTGAATGGGGTAATTGTTTTATATTGTTTAATAGTTTTATTCAGCTAATTAACATTACTTTTTCCATAGGTTTACCTTGTGCATTCTTATTTCACACTTTTATTTTTTAAACTCTAACTAAACTTAATTATCATTAGCATTGCAAATAGAAAATATAACAAGGTTTTATCTATAAAACAAATAAAACTTATAGCCCTATACAGAAGAAAAAATAGATAAAATTATGGTGCACAAAATCADGGCAAAAATAAAATAACAATTGTTAATAACCAATAATTAATTAATTGTTAATAACCAATAATTAATTAATTGTTAATAACCAATAATTAATTAATTGTTAATAACCAATAATCAATTGTTAATAATTAATAGCGCAGCACACTGATTCTAAAAATAGCTTAAAGATTCGGACAAACATTGCATTCTGTTTAACCGCTACAAGGACTATACAAACTGATTTTATTATTTTTACTTAAAGTTACAATAATAACCCACGTAAACTAAGATGAACTGCGATCGGCTGTGAAAATTATCTGCTGAAAGTAAACTTGTAAATTTGTTTGTCTGAATTTCGCCTTTGTCTTCGTTTTTATGACGTCACGGTTGCGCTGCACTATTAATATACTGCAATATAGTTCAATGAACTACGTCTACTTCCAATGTCTGACCAAAGTTGCCATTTTCAAAGCCAGATGTCTTTTAGGGCAGGCCTCTTTACCAGCTACTATTATTGTTGAAGTGCGACCAGCGAAGTTTGATGTCTAGTTTGCCGACTAGCATTTTGACATCTATCAATCAAAGAATGCAATAAAAACAATATTTTGAGGGAGATTTTAGACTGAATTAAAGATTTTAGGCCCCCGTCCACACTATGCCGGATAAATTTGAATCCAAATTTTTATTTATTCGATTAGGCCTACCATCCACACTAGTCTGGGCGAATCCGGAACAACTCTTCACCGAAAAAGAATTTTTTGAATACGGTCTGAACAAGATTAACAGTTGCTAAAATGCTAGTTGGCGAACAAAACATCAAAGGAGCAGGTCACTTTTCAGTGATAATGGTAGTCTGATGATGTGGTTGTATTAATTAATTTTAGCTCTGAAAGTTCTGTCCAAACATTTCTCCATTTCATGGTCAAGGAAAAAGTCTGGGTTGCACTCGAATTGAAGGGGATTGTGGGATTGTTACAGGTGACATGTTTCCAAGGAACCATTTCCAAGATGGTATCTATTCCATCCCCTAAAACCATCCCACAATGCACTGCAAATTTCAGTTCAACCATTTTTTCCCCTTAACTTTGGAATGGCTAATAGCGTGACGTATATCTATTMGTTAACTATATACTACCTCTCTTTTTATAAACAATGTAGTATTGTGTAGTTCCTAAAATTATCCATACCCCTCACGGAGGCACCCCCTCCCCCTCCCCCTGGAAATTTCAATTTTCTATTCCATACAAACTCTGTAATAAGCCTGAAGCAAGATGCATTTTACCCCCGACTCTATACCATAATAGTTTTTAAAATTCTTTCATATTAAAATTTTTGACATCCTTAGAGAATACAGGAACAATAGTCATAATTAAAGAACAAAAGCAGTGTGAAAAGGATTATGGTCTAGAGACGGGGGTAAAACATCATCTCGCTTCAGGCTTATTTTTGTTCTTTCTCTGACCCCCCTACCCTTTGGAAATTCCAAATTCCTCTGTGGGGTAGGTATGAACAATTTCTGGAACTACACATTATTCTATAATAATTCAAGGCCTCCTTCTTAGATCAATGTTGGAACATCTTGGATGGCACGATATTCTTGTCCTTCGACTGCTGAGTCCAGCCGTTCTTGAATATTAGAAAACCTGTCACGACCAGTGTAATCTGGAGCACCATTCTCCCAAGCAGTGCGCTGATCAGCTTCCACAATGACCGGCAGGTTTGAATCATGCTGAAGATGTAGCAGTGCAATTTCGTCAGTGACTTGGTGAATGTCTATATTCTGTGAATGACGAATGGATTGAAAAAGTATGATGAAAGAGGAAATAGGATGTATGATAATGTTTTAAAAAGAATTAGGTTACCTTTAACACATTATATCTATAATTACTTTTTACTGTTAACGAGACTAATAAAAATATTATACACTTATTTCAAAAGGATTTTGCATTTCTATATCTACCAATTTTACTTTAAACATGCATGAGTTCACTTAGTATTCAATAGAATTTATATATAGTTGTTATTAACTACAAATTTCTATTTTAAATTAATTTCTGTTTGCTTTAGTTATGATACTAGAACCTTCCTCAGCATATGATGGAATAAAAGTGCTGACACACGGTGCAACATTGCACGCAACAGGACTGTTGCAGCGTGAGTCTACCCCAAACTTGTTGCACGCAACAAATCTGAAGTCGAATCGTGTTCTACTATAGCAACATTGCGCGCAACAAATTTCATCATATGAACATGGCTGCAACATTACCTGCAACATTTTGAAATTTCCAACCAACCAGCTTGCAGCAAATTTATGATTGCTGACCAAATATCTTAATTTTGTTGCAATGTGTGTCAATCCGATTCAAATTTGTTGCTTGCAATGTTGCGTGCCATGTTGCACCGTGTGTCAGCACCTTAACAGGCTATTCATGCATTGTGATTGGCTGTGTGAACATAAAATATGATGAAATAACAGGCTATTCTTTTTTTCTGGCCTGGTATCCAAAGAGTCATGCATTGTGATTGGCTGTGTGATCAAACAGCATTTTCTATCATTGCCCACTGTCATCCTAGTGCATGCATGGGAAAACAGATTCACTTGTTAAAAAAAAGGAAAAAAAATTTGCAAGAGTAGAGTTTAAGTAAATGAAAAAATAAATAAATAAATAAAATAAAATAAATAAATAAATAAAATAAAATAAATAAATAAATAAAATAAAATAAATAAATAAATAAATAACAGGCCTAAAGGTGTTTGAATACTTAATTTAAAGACACAATCTTTCCCTATATAATAAGCCTGAAGCGAGATGACGTTTTACCCCTGACTCTATATAATAATAGTTTTTAAAATTCTTTCATATTCAAATTTTTGATTCCTTAGAGAATACAGGAACCATAGTCATAATTAAAGAACAAAAAGCAGTGGGAAAAAGATTATGGTCTAGAGATGTCTATTCTATCCTAATCTCCTGGCCGGTAAATGACATACATATTTATTAATGGAAGGTTACAATATCATAACCGAGACATCCAGGAATTAAACCTCGGGTAAGCCTAGGAAATACCAAAACAGTGGTGAACAGGAGTGCAGGAACAATCGAATCTAGTCTAATTTAGAGGACATTAGAAATCATTCAGTTTTCAAGGAGGAAAAAGACTATTTTTGTGCCTCCTGTCATGGCTGCCATCATGTGATGGTGCAAAGTCCCCATTAGGTATATTAAAGATATGCCATCTTATATTATACCCAAGGTAATTGTTACTGGCCGAATTTCTTCACAGTTATTCAGGCATGGCGAAACATTTTTTTAAAGTTGGGGGGCTAGAGTCCTCCCCTCCCCTTCCTGTTTTAAGGTGAACATTTATTCTTATTCCTAGACAAAATAAAAATGTAGTCTTCGTAAAAAATCGGGAGGGGGACTAAAGCCCCCTTCCCCCCAGTCCCCTGTCTCCGCTGTCCCTGTTACTATAGACATGTTTCGAATAACAGGGTTCGTGCCGAGGTAACCACTTAAAATTCAAGGACTATTCAAGAAGTATACAAGGACCCAAAAAGGAATTTTCATGGAGTACTGTAGTATGTTCTGCTAACTATGCCAAGGTTTTGCATGGTGGTTGCACATGGCCGACTTTCAGATGTTCCAATCTTTCTGACTAGTTTCAGAACCATGCAAGTAATGATCAAAACTAAAATTCRATGAGTTTCGCTAAAATCGTAAAATTCAAGAGCTTTTCAATTGCCCTCGTGAATTAAATTCAAGGAGATTTCAAGGAGTTTAAGGGTAGCACAAACCCTGGAATAAGTAATATAAATAGACCTCTCTGATCGCAAATTCTAAATTGCTTGGCTGTTATTAAGCAGTGCATTATTCTAGTGCTTTTAGATTAATCAATGTCATTTAACAAAGGATGGCAATGGTTAAGAATTAGATAGTAAAAAAAATAAAGGATTGGATGAATTACTACATTTTCACCTGGATTAGAAGATCATGAAAATATATACTAGTTCTTTCTGAATTCAACTTTTTGGTACTAGCGGTCACATGGTATGAATGATGTTGGATCATGTTACAGTCACAAAAACGTTCAGACATTCTAGGACTTCCATTCAAATTCACTGACTTAAAAAAAAATGAGATCGATTTTGTTAGTTAGTTCTCCTATTAGCAGTAAGAGAAGCCTCAATCAAGTTAGAAAAAAATGATATTTGGCTTGTTTTTAGAGAACTAGCTAAACAAACCGGACAAGTAAATAATTTGTTTAAAGTAGGTACATTCGAACGGAATTCTGAGAACAATGCCCAAAATTCTTGAAGACTGTAACACAATCCAACATGATTCATCCTATGTTTGCTAGCACCAAAAAGGTGGATACTAGTACATATATGGGGAATGACTGATTACTGGTAATGGAAATTCAGTCATTACAAAATCCCAACTCCTCCCTACTTATCCTCTAGAAATGTTTTTCCATTTTTTTTGTTTATGGTGTGCAGTTGAACATGAGCAGACACATGAATATAGACACAACACAAACAAAGACCCTTAATCATTATAGACCCCTCTAGAGGTATATAGGTTTATAGACCCCTAGGTATATAGGTTTATAGGCCCCTTGCATGAGACGTCAAAGCAGCTTAATTTGGAAGACAAAACAAAAGGATTTCCTGAGAATTGGGAAACCTATTATAAATAAATATGTTCTCCAAATTGAGCTGCATTCCGCTGTATTCCAAGGGGTCTATTAATGACCCCCTATAGGGAGGTAAAAGAGTTCAGGCCCTCTGTTTCCAACCTATCGGCAATAATCATAAATTTCATAATATTCATGTTAATTTGTAGTCTTGTATGCAGCCGCTATTAGTGCCGTCACGCAACGCTCCCTAAGGGGAGTAAGCATTGTGTGACGACACTAATAGCGGCTGCGTAGGAGACCAGTTAATTTGTAGCAATTATCAAAATATGTCTCAATATTTCTTAAAGAATCTTAGTCAGCCACAATGCCCTGCACACCTATTTAATTGTTTACAATGATTAATTGATTGACTGATTGAGGGAAAGGTCAATGCTTGGCCTGCATAGTTTGTGTTGTGGATGCACATGCAGATAGTGGGGAGAGTATGATGGTAATTAAGAGTTGCAAAAAGCCGGAGTCAATTAATGCATTCCCAATTAATAAGTTCCCTTCCTTCCACTCTACAGCAAGGAGGTTGAAATTTTCAAAGAGATTCTCTTTCGTGACATCAAGTCTTGATGCTTGATTGCCCAACAGATAGCCATTGCAACTTTGAAATCTACCTTAGCTTTGTTGCCAAAATTTACAAAATCTCACGAAAAGCTGTAAGTGAGTTTATTATACAACTCATCATGATGGCTGTAAAACATCTAGTAGAAATAACCAAGGGCAGATCCAGGAGGGGGCAAAGGGGGGCTGAAGCCAAGCCCCCCCCCCCCCCTCAGCAGAAAAAAACATGGTTTTTTATATTGTTTTCTGTTGTGTTGAAACTCAATTAGCCCCCCCCCCCCTCTAAAATTTTGGTTGGATCCGCCCTTGATAACAAGATTGATATTGGATTCCCAAATGTTCCCTAAAAAATAACCATTTCGCCTCTATGGTAGGGAAGATGGCGCATTGCACGTTTCCAGCATGCAGTACATTGTGGTTGATTAGGATTCTTTAACAAAATATAACTACATGATAAAAGAATGCCTACGTCATCAGAAAAGTAGTACGAATCATAATTTGCTTCCTCAGAAATCTCAGGTTCTTGTTCTTCCGTTCGCGAAGGTTCCTCAGGGATTGGACCTTGGTCCGGGTTGTCAGTATGAGGAGATACTGGATGGTGGTTATCTTGGGTGGGTTCTGAGTACTCAGTGTTAGGTTGGACGGGCTCAGGTGTCCAATGAAACTGGTTAGGTTCTGGTATGTATGGTGTGGAGTGGTTGATTTCTTGGTCAGGACTGGAAGAGTCTGGCTCAAGATTTGAATGGTTGGTGGGGTGCTCATGTGGAAGCTCGTCACTGCATTGCTATAGCAACAACCAGAAACACTTGGTGACTTTTACTGCTCAGCTTTTAGCTTGTCAATTTAGTGCTTACCTCATAGACGTATGCATAAGATAAGTTTATAGCTATACAAAGCAAGTAGGTATGGTTATCAGAGGGAAGATTACCAAGAGCGGCTGTATTGCCAAAGCATTACCACTTAAAGTTTATCATTTAAAGTGCACTCGACACCAGAATCAAGTTATTCTTGTTGCGCATGCTTGATGAAGTTTCAGAGACTCTGGGAAACATGTGCAAGCAGTAGCCAARAATGTGTCAGAACTTAAGCTAGTGTGTGCGCACCTCCCTAAATCTATGTTTTCTTCCTTGACAGAAAAAATTGCCATTTTAATAATTGTTATATGAAACAAAAAAAAAAACTCTTATAGCTGCACTGCCGTTGTATCAACATTGTTATCCTTTTTTGCAAGGGTTATTATTGCTAGTGCTGAAATACACTTATCAGTCACCGCTATTGAAATTCTATGGTTTGCCAGAGTCTTTGGCATTTTGCCAAGCATGTGTAGTAAGAATGACAAGCTCTGGGGTTGAGATTTTTTTTAGGAACATGTATGTGACAAAGAAAGTATTAAGCATTTTTTAACTCCTTGCGATCAAACAAGAAAAAGAATTAGCTAAAGTAACATCAGTTAATGATCTTATGCTCAATGAAGAACTAATAAAATGATAGCTACCACCGAACCAAAAGACACCTCAGAATAAATAAAGACTAGTATAGATATGTTTAAGAAGAATAGGAAAGTATACGTCAAGTATATTTCTTATACCCTGTAGATTAATTATTCTTATTATTTAACTTAACACCTTATATTAATATATATATATTTTTAACTATTACAATTATTTCAGTTTTTCAACTGAAAATTTATATTAATTCCTGGGTTTGATCTCAACAAATGATAATAAAATAATTGACACTTTGGCTTAATGCCAAGCTTCATAGCTTATGATGGCTATGACTAGCAAATCTGACAAGTCAATGTTTTATTATCTTTTTTATATGAAAAACTAAATCTATATGAAATACTGTATGTCTCATTAGATTCTGATTTATAGTTATTTAATTAATTATTACGACAATGATATGTTTAACTTTAACGATTAGACCTTAAAGCCCAATATTGGTCTTTGAGTCAATAGCCCATAGGCGAATGGGCTATTGACTAGTTGACCATGCATGGCAGTGAGAGGTCTAATTGTTTAGTCTAAACCAACTAATCTGTCAAATAAATAGATGCAAATAATTCTGAAATTAGATTGAAAACACGATTTAGCTGCAATAGTTTTCAAAATTAGCACTCTTTTCGCTACTAGTGTTTATCATTGATACCACTAAAAGTTATTAGCTGCTCATCCAATCACAGCGCAGGATTGTGATAAACCATTTATTTGGAGTTGGTTTAGACTATAAGTTATTCCAAAGTCGTTTTCTAGTAAAAATCTTATATTGTTCATTACCCCAGTGATAAAGAAGAGCTAGTATCCCCACAAGCAGATTGATTAAGAATCATTATCCAATCTTTTCATGCAATTAGAGCATGCATTATATTGACACACAACTAAAATTAAATTTAGAAAAATCTTTTTTGTTTAATCATTAAGATTTATTTATTAATCAAAATTATTAATGAATAAAGTATATTGCAGAAAAAGCCGATGACCAGAAAGATTTGAGCAACAAGAAAGATTTAGAACAATGTACAAAAGCAAGTCAGGGTACATGAACTCTAAATCTACAAAAAGAGATAAAACGAATTCGAAGGTACACTGAAATGATGGCACAATTGAGTGACATGCATTGGAGTACGGTACATAAAAAACATTTTACCAAAATTACACTGCAGTATAATTATTTAAAAGACAGATACAAGTATGTCTTACGAATAACCAATGTACAAGAAGAGATAAATGAATTCGAAGGTACACTGAAATGACAGCATAATTAAGTGACATGCATTGGAGTACGGTACATAAAAAACAGTTAACCAAAATAACACTGCAATGTAATTATTTAAAAGACAGATAAAAGTACGTCTTAAGAATAACCAGAAATGTTGCCCCCTGCTATTGTCCCAGAAATCTCAAACCAAAAATGATCCAACAAAGCAAAGTGACAAAACGACAATATGGTAGCCATCTTGGACCACAAGGCATCATGGGTCTTTCAGGGGGCAAAACAAAACAAATAGACTTCCTCGGCTCGGACGTAATGTTGTCCCATTTTCAGACCATGTGTCATTCCCTAGAGTATCATTTCTTTGTTTAACAGTTGTGCTCGGTTGCACATGAGAAGACACATGAGTATGGATACAGCTCAAACAAAGAATCTAATKCTCAAGGGAATGACATGATCTGTAAAGCCAAGGAGGTTGATTGGCTGATAATATGTAGAGTTTCGTGTGTTTGTCTTTCTTTCATGGGTAATGGTGACCATACAAAAATTAATATATAATCAAGTTCACATTAGCTCTCCTCCTGGATGCCCCATAATGCCTTGCGATTTAAGATGGCCTTAGCACTGTCGAAGTAATCTATTGGTTGGCACGCCATAATTACAATGTAGATCTTACAACTGCCAATCAGAAACCCTGATTAAGGGAGGAATAAATATTTTTTGGAATACATGATAATGTATCTAGACCGTTTACTCAAAGTTGCATGCGCATCAAACCTGATGGGCCACAAAATGAAAAACGCAAATGCAGTATTATTGAGAAGCCAGTTTTATATTTCAAGATCAGAATAATCAATTTCATGATTTCTTATCCAAAAGATTTATAGCAATGCATGATAATATTCATTATAATGCTCATGTTCTTATCGTGGCCCATCAAGTTCCTTAGATTTGGATGCCCAGGCATCATTGAGAAAACGGTCTATTAAGAAGAAGTTCAGCAAGTGCTTACCCTCATTCCTGGCAACACATACGTCACGTAGATGTCCCACCATAACTGAAGGTATGTGTTCTCATGAGGTAACCCCCCTGCAGTGTCTGGCATGTATACTGTACCCGTCTCGCTGGAGTAGTTGCACTGCCAAGGTTTAACAGGGCCAATGAAATGAACTATCTTTACATCCCGTCCAAATCTGTGATGAAATATCAAAACTACGTCAAAAAAAAACAAACACAAAACATAATTTGGTAAGGTAACTAAAATTACACAGAGTAATTTTCATCTAGGCCTTTGATTCGTTGAAGTTGATTTTTGCGGAGGGAAGAAAACCGGTGAACCCACAGAAAAACCCTTGAAGCACAGGAGAGGCCCAACAAACTCTACTCGCATATGATGCGTCCGATGGTCAAACCTAGTTAGAATGGTGAGAGGCAAGCTATGACACTCATGCTTCCCGACAACAACAAAAACAAAAAAAAAACAAACAAACAAACAGTGGGTGAGAATCTAATAAATAAGGGCTTTTATATCATTTTTTAAATTCCAGGATAGTAGGTTTAGTGGGATAGGTAAGAAAACGAGTAAATAAGAGGATTGTGGGTTTTTTTTTGAGTGAGTAACTTTCCCAAGACTGATTGTCAAAATCTAAAACTACATTAGCTTTTCAACTTGGGGAACTTGAATTTTTAAAAAATCTATTACCAATTTCTTACTTACTGTTGTGTTCAGTACTTACTGTCTGAAAGCTGGTGTATATGTGTAGCTGGCATTGGAGCTCATGTTGTAAATAAAGGATAAATGAGTTGAAATGTCACTTGTTGCCCAGTTGCTAAAGAATGAGTTTAATAATCCTTGGTCCCCACCTGGCAAAGACACAGATGGATAATAATTATTTTACATCTACTTTACAGAACTATAAGTCAATATGAAATAATCAATTTAAATAAATTTAAAAAATGGTTAAAAAAAAAAAAAAAAAATTAAATAATAAATCTTGCATTCTGATTGGTTGGAAGCGTGTGCTTTGTATGTCTGTGTGCTTTATAACTGCACACAGTAGTGCGATTTTCAGTTTCTGTAATTAGCCAGGAGTTTTATATGATGCATGCGCAAAAAGCTGAACTTGATTTCTTTTGGGTTTATAAAATCACATTAAATTATATTGTGTAGTTCCAGAAATCATCCATACCCACCCCACAGAGGAATTTGGAATTTCCGAAGAGTAGGGGGGGTCAGAGAAAGAACAAAAATAAGCCTGAAGCGAGATGACGTTTTACCCCCGTCTCTAGACCATAATCCTTTTCACACTGCTTTTGTTCTTTAATTATGACTATTGTTCCTGTATTCTCTAAGGATGTCAAAAATTTTAATATGAAAGAATTTTAAAAACTATTATGGTATAGAGTCGGGGGTAAAACGTCATCTCGCTTCAGGCTTATTATATAGGGGAAAATTGTGTCTTTAAATTAATTTCTGGGGGGTAGGGGGGGGTGTCTTAAAAATTCCTCCGTGAGGGGGGTATGGATAATTTTTGGGACTACACATTATTACATTACATTATTCTTATTTAATAAATATTAATTATTGTAACCTACCATCAAAGCTACCATGGTCTATAGCATGTTGCAGCAGTGCTTCATATGTTGCTCTAGACGGTTCAAACACAAACATTCCTGAGTTAAAACAATCTGGCCATCCAATGTCTGTAACAGCTGACAGTTCTTGTCGATCAAAGAGTTCATCGCAATTCTGTAGGACAAGCATATCGGCATCAAGGAAGACACACTTGGAATACTGCGTTAGATTCCAGCAACGGATCTTTGTGAAGGTGATTCCTAGTTCTGGTCGGGTTAAAAGAGCTAAGTTGGCGTCATCTCTACTATCAAGAGGGTCCACTGTAACCAAGTGATCCCATACTCTACTCAGCTGCTCTCTGAGAGGAAAAAAAACAATATGAAATGGAATAGAGCTAAATTAAATAGTATGTGAATCATACTGCATCAAGTAGCTTGGATTGAAAAATGGTTTTTGCATTACCAACAAGAATTACATGTACCTGTATATAGCTATATAATTAATAGGTAATGGGATTTCACGCTCCCCAATCAAGGAATAATTAGACTCGAAAAAATTCCTCTGACTGCCAAATTGGACTCTGCCTACGGCCTCATTCAATTTTGTCAGTCCTCGGAATTTTCCTCGTCCAATTATTTCTTAATTGGACAGCATGGAGTCCTATTACATATACTAATACTAATAATACTAATACTAATACTACTACTAATAATAATAATAATAAATGCATGATATGCTTTTAACACGTGGTTTTTGATTTTTGAGAGCTTCATTTAATCCTTATATGCATGTCATGCATGTCTAATGCTATTTTGTGAAGTAAAGGTCATTTTCAGCAAAGCATAAACATGTTAAACCACATGTTTCATTTTCCTTGCAGCTTTCAGCTCAGTTCCTAATTAATTAGACAGTAAAACCTTTTGCTTCTTAACTATAAATCCATGGGCTGGCTATTCTTCTTTGAATAGACTCAAGTCCTTTTAAGTGAACTTACTGAACTTTCATTAGAAATGCATTGCATCTCGAATAATAAAGTAAAACTCTTTGCTTTTTAATGTAGTTCTAGAAATTATCCATACCCACCCCATCGCGCCATACCCATAACCGTAAATTGCGCTATTACATTTAATTGCACGCTGCATTTATTTGAGGGTGGTACCTATTTAAAGAATGTGTTTACCATACATATTGTGTAACCAATGATGCTCCATTCTAATACAAAGTAAATACAAAAATTTCAAAAATGCAAAATACCAATGTTTTTTTTTGTATGAATAGAAATTGTGTCTAATCAGTGGTTGGTTTAATAATAATAATAATAATAATAATAATAATAATAATAATAATAATAATATCTTTACAGTGTATTTACCCTGATTTAAAAAACTGATCAGCTGGACACGATAGAACAGCTGGTATGAACTGGTGATCAGCAATATAAAATCTATAAAAATCTAAATAAAATCTATACTAAAATATTTGATTGAGAATCTTAAAGTATAAATACAAGAAAAGAGAAAATTAAATATAATATATATATATATATATACACAGAAACACGAAAACCCAGCGTCCACAAAACATATATTCATATATATCGATCACATTACACATGTTGGGACATATATGTACACGCCTTCTATACAAGTACTGTGTTAAACAGACATGCTGGGAGAGAAAGGACATATATGCTTTCTCAATGACATTTAACCTGTATCATTGACAGATCACAGTGAAGAAATTATGAAATTATGAATAATTAATGAGAAAAAACATAACAAGACATCAGTCTTCCAGGATAACAAATTTAATATTGGATATAAAAAATGTCCTTATTTTTATTGAACTTTAACATCTATATCTCGTCAAACTTACTCCAATCTCAAAAAAAGTAGTATAAGCATTTGCGCTCGCCTCCGAATAACTATTGCAAATGCTCATGAAGATCAACAGCTCCTACTGCTTACAGCTGTTTCAAATAACATATATTGTCGGTTGGAGATCTGAAATCTGAGACGAAGTAACACTCTGCAAAACGTAAAAATTGAATATATTATATATAAAATGTAATATTTAACGATGTAGTTTTGTTTTACATTGGAATATGAAGATAACCTTAAAAAAAAAAAAATCAAAAGAACAAAAAATCTGTTTAGTCTCATATCGCCTATTTCATATCTCCAACCGACAATGTTTCTTGAAATAGGCCTATATTACATGTAAATGAGACATGAGCTGCATGGTGCTGCCTTACTTCATTTCCTTAATTCTTGTGTACTGTATGAAGTGAAAGTGAATAAGATTATTAAATTTTGGCTGGAAAATTATTTTCCTACTGCAAACAAGGACTTATATAGGATCTTAATCTTTTAAGTTAGCATTCTTAACTAGTTACTGTGTTCCCGCCTAAATAACGACCCTCTCAGAAACTGTTGACTCGTGCGTCTAGGGTATCTTGCATGACAGGTAGGGGGGTACAACAAAACCGAACAAAAAAACAAAAAAAACAAATGACAAAACACACCAATAAAACAACAAGGTAAAATTTATCAAAATTATGAAGAAAGGAGAAAACGTCAGCCAAAAATTAAAAATAATTTCAGAATAAAGCAATTGGATTTGGGCCACCAGTTTTGAAAAAGTAATCTATAATGAAGGGTCATGATGACTTGACATGGGACACCAGTTCACACGAATCTTAGAATTTGAATAAGTCTAGTGAGATCGAGCCCTGATTACAAATATACTTAAGCATTTCAAGCAGTTTGCCCTCATTTCGCAATTAAATTTGAAGGGTTACGATTTGAACAATGAAAATCAACGGTAAAATATAAGGATTTTCTGAAACACAAGCAAATAAGCAAGCAATTCCTAAATAACCCAGCTCTCAATCCCAAATGATAAAATTAAATAAAATACTAAGTTATAAAAAATATTATAGTAAGTGGAATTTCGTTTTCATAATAAGAAGCGATATAAGAAGCCTCTACCTTTTCCGTTTTAAAATCTTAAGTTCTAAATATTCTAGTATTTTATAAACATTTTCTTTGCCACGTATTTCTTTGCCATCTTTTTAAACACAAAAGTACAATTCATTAGCGAATATAGCAGTTGATGAAGCAATATATCGTCGAGATCTGGACAAAGGATGTACTATTTTCAATACAGATAGGCGATAGATGTATAATAGAATTGGCTTGTATAAATACCTCATGGGATCGGTGACTTGATTCGTGACAAGAAGAGCTAGTTTTCTAGTTGTATTTACGCGACGAAGAGAGTAGCCCAGAACAAGTGCTCCATTGGCGTAGCTGTTATTCGTCACTAAGCTCACAAATGCTTCATTTTCGGCTCTATTCTCCCCCATTTTTCCTTAATGCTACCAAAAGAGTAAAACTAAGCTGAGGGGAAGGTAAAAGAGCTGGACAAAAGCTGTGGGAAGACCACAGACTTGTACYAATGTCGAAACCGCCTTCTTTCGATTTGCAGAGTCCGAGCTGAATGTTCGCGCCTCGTGCAACGATAACTACTACCACCCCCATGGGGAATTAATGGTACTTATCGTAAAATTTGATACGTACTTACTGGTAATATTTCCTTGTGTGATTTCCTTGATATTTCCATTTCCGGTATTGCCAATCTTCTTTTAATTTTTCTATTAACCCTTTCTTTTTTTTTAGTATTCCCTTTTTTTTCCTTTTTAAAATTTCCTTTTTTAGCATAAATATTCATATAACGATCATTGATTTTTAGCTTATTTCATAAGACTACCATTATCTTCTTAATTACACTTTAAACATTGAGCTTCAAATAGCCTATCTTTTTTTGTTAAATATTGAAAATTATACTTCATTTTCGGAAATATTGAGAATGTTGTTGTGGGATACCTATTGCCAATTGAACCGAAGAAGACTGGTACTACCCTAGTAACGAGTCTCTCTCGCTGAATCCTCATAGCAACCACAAAAGCCAAGAAGTCAATAAGTAAAGCTAAAAAAATGTGAGCAAAAAAGACGAATTTAATCCGAATAGAAGAGCCAAAGGAGGTCTAAAAGACCTAAAATATCTCCTACGGTTCATAAAGATGGTTTGCTGGTTGATTTTTGGCAAGTTTTTGTCTTTTTGTTGTAGAAATAGCCATTTGAAGTGATTGTACGCGCTTGCAGAAATTTGACTTTGTAAACACTTTCTTCAAAAACTACTTCGCAAAAGGAGTCGAAATCTTTAAATATTATAAGCGAGGACAATGGAGGAAGAAAAAATAAAGAAGTTCCCATCTGAATCAATCCAAAGTGAAGAGGAAGAGACGAGGGATGACGCTGAAATGGCTGAAGAAGAACCTTCAAAGTACGACTCAGCTCTTATGTCAGATTCAAAATCTAGTATTTCTTCAACTGCTTTTAGCAGGACAGAAACTCCCGATGAACAGACTTATGGACTTCCAATTGATACAATCAAAACAAAGCACGAAGACGATCCTGAAAAGTTAAAAAAAGACATAGCAGCAAGAGGGATAATCGTACCTAGTCAAAAACTTTCAGAGCATTCATCATTAAGGGGTTCATTGATGTCTACTGCGTTAGTTAGCGAACGTATGTCTGAAAATGATTTGAATCAGGATATTCCAGACAGCGAGGAATCTATAATACCTTTGGAACCAGCTGCAAATGTAGATACTGATTTGATTGACAGCCGTCCATCAAGTGCGAGCACAAGCCTGAGCGTAGAAGTACCTTTGAAAGTAGAACAAACTGACTCAGAATCTGAGCAAAAGCTTTCCTCGCATTCGCCGGAGCTAGTCAGGGTTGGTGAAAGAGAGACTAGTTTTATATCTCGRCAAGGAAATATAACAGTGGAATTGTCGTCAACTTGTACGCAAACTGAAAGCAGCTGGCTCAAGGACTTAGAATTTTATGAAGAAATTTCACACTTTCGGCCAGAGTGGATAGATGAAATGAAGGCAATCAAACAAAGGAAAGAATCAAAATCCTCATCAGGTATGATAAGGATGGCTGTTATTTTGGACATAAATGATGAAATAGAATAAAGCTATAGACACATGGTGCAACGTCGTGYGCAATGTTGCATGCAATAGATGTTGCGAGCCATGACACAGGACAAAATGTGTTGCACGCAATGTTGCTGAACTATCCTACTTCAGCAACATTGCCTGCAATTTTGTGGCAATGTTGCACCATGTGTGTGCAAAAATATGATCAGTCCATTTAATGTTTTATTTGCATACATGTACATCTATACACAGGCTTTTTTGTTCCCAAACAAATTTGTACACACCTTGTTTGGTAAAACCAGCTGACTTCGCAATGGAATTAGTCAGCTTAACGTACGTAAATATATGCCTGCCCAATGGGTAGTTCTAGAAAATATCCATATTCCTTTGGTTAACAAGGGAGATGCCATTTCTTATGCAAAAACAGATAGGGGGGGGGGGTATCATCGCATCAGCTTTCATGTATGGGATACTAAGCGAATCCCATCACTGCTACAGTAGGTAGATCCCCAGTATTAACAAATAACAGTAAATGGTCCCCAATAACAAAAAAACTAAGTTTGAACTTTACCTTTTTCAACTGCTAACACTGAAATTCCTTTTTACAATTTTTGAATATTATTGTATTTTAGGTAGTGCAAAAGTCACTTTTTTCAAGCGCCGAAAAAAGAAATCTGGGACTGAGCCAAGATCAGCAGCATCTCCTTATGCRGAGAAAAGAGTCAGATCTCGTATTGATGCAGACGAAAAGATAGAAAAAGAAGAGGAAGAAGTAAAAGAAGAAGAAAAACTTTCCAGAGGTAACTTAACAGAGACTCATGTGYCTACCAAGTTATCAATGAAAGTTAACTGCAAGAGGGCTTTTCAGCATGCAGTAGCACTTAAGGCTGTTGAAAGCTGCACAAGTATGCGCCTATGAGCATGCTGCAGCTTAGTCACATGGATTGTTCTGCCAGTACGTTTTTTTACTGGTCTCGTTTTTGTGGACTGTTTTTCACCAATCAATGATTCAGTCCCTTGGGAAGTTTATTTGTTTTATTTGTTGTCAATCTATAAACATTAGATGTATCTCACCAAGTGTTACCGCAGATAAACAAAGACATTTATGGTATTATCTTGGCAATGATGCATAGCTTGGATAAAAACATATTTTCTAACCATTACTCCCCATACGGGGCTCTTCCATGAGGTTCCCTCCACACGTACTACCACTACATTCTATATTTACAACATACAACACTCAACTCACATGTTGCTTTTTACGGAAGGAGGAAACCAGAGATCCTGGAGAAAACTCTCGTAGCAAGGGAGAGAACAACACATCAAACAAACTCAACTCACATATGATCCAGTCTGAGCCAGGGCTCGAACCTGGACCTCAGTGGTGAGAGGCAAGCAGTAAATCACTATGCCACCCAAAGTGAGAAAAGAGAGGATATAATAAATTTTGCACCTTGGCTGAAAAGATCAAGAACTAGATCATTAAAAAATCCTTTTTTTACTCTAGAAACAAGTTTCCAACAATCAAGACAATCGTTTCCTTCTCCCTCACCACAAACACCGATACGAGAGGATGACATGCTTTACCGGCCGCCAACAGTAGAGATGTCATCGGAAAGCAGCTCTGAAGAGGAGTACGAGTACTCACCTGACGAGAGTACCTTTATACCTAGTATAGGTCCTCCCTCTATACTACAATATATCAAAGAATCACAGCAGCCTCCGATGATGAAGGAAGAAGCCGACAGCAGGGACGAGGCACTTGGGAGTGAAAATTTAAGAAGAAGCTTATTTTCTGGTCCTTGTATGTTCTGTAAGAAGGAGATACTGCCTTTCCCAACAGAAGAAGAGATTGAAAATACTGATCTTAAGTCTAGTGATGTAAGTACTGCCCCTCTGGCTTCCCCACATCTGCATGCAACCCTATGCAGAATATCTGGGAATTCATACCGGGTGGTAAGACATAGAAGGTACTTTCTTCAAGATGAAAAAATGACAGGAAAGAGACTGGTACAAAATTGTACTAATGCTCTCTCTGTTTTGGTTCTTTGTTTGCTTGTTTTTTTGTTGGTTTTTGTTTTMTTTTTATTTTTGGTCTTTTGAGATTTTGACTCTTTTTTTTTGTCTTCCAAAACTACAGGTAATTTTTTTTCCTCACCTTTTAAAATTTTTGTCATATCAATGTTGTGTCACTTCTGAAAATATTTTTCTCTGTGCCTTCCACCATGGCACTGCTTTTCCATGGAAACCTTTTTYCCCCCTAATGTATGTTACTGTATCTTGATTTTTATATATTTTCTTTGTTTTCCCCCTCAGCTTTTCTGCTGTTCACAGTACAAAAACTATATCAAACTAGAACTGGCTAATAACAAATCATTTATGAGAGATGAGTTGATTGACATCAAGCCACACCCACCTTTTGGAACAAAGGCCGCTCGGAAAGCTGCAAAGGAACGAGCTGCTGAACGAGCAAGACAACGAGAAATGGACAGACAGAAAGCAGCTGGAGCAAGTGCAGCGGCCAATCAAAACTTCTATGCATGTAAGTTTAATACACTCAGTATCATGCATTTAGTCTGAGTAGAGGCACTTTGGGGAGGGAGAGGGGAGGCCCCAGTCTGCATCCCCTTCCTCCCCCCTCCCCCCTCTCCAAAACACCGCTATGCAGGCTAGTCATCATGTGACACTTTTGATTTTGGAATAAAGCATTGAGCAACAATACTAATGGTAAGACTAGAATCTAAAGGTTACTTTACAGGACCATATAACTGAGGAAGTCCATCCTACATGCCCAATCTCAGTATATCACCCTGTGACTTAAACACATCAGTCAAGCAATGACTGATGCAGTTCTGTTAAATTTTAATCTTGCACACACTGTTGGGCTCAAAGAATGCTGTCATACCTACTTTAAAATGTAGAGTTACCCTCCAATTTTGCTGTCCGTTTTACTTGATATCAATAACATTTTTACCTTGGGCTGCCAAGAAGAATGCTCCCGGTATGCATATACAGTATAAAGCTTAAAAAAAGTTGCATTGTAGTCTAGCAGGAGTACAAACGATACCACTTAAGGCTTAATGAATTAATTGATAAAATTATTTTTTCCTGTGCTAGACTACAATGCATGTTGTTTGCTATCTCAAAAAAGGTCATTTGATTGATAGTTTGTGTTTTACTTGTGCTAATGAATGTTGCTGTAGGCGCTTCCTTTGGACATTGTTTATATCCTGTCAATAACCATCATCACCATTGTCCATCATCGTCATCATCATCAAAATCAGTATCATTATCAGCAACAGTATCCTCATCTTCATCATCACACCATCATCTTCAGTATCATCTTCAAGGTATCATCATCATTCATCATAATCAGTATCATCAGTAGCATCAGTAGCATCATTTCTTTACTGTCAAAATAACCCAAACATTACACCTCATGGTAAGAGAACATTACATTAGTAAATAAGCAGTTCTGGGTGTTACATAACAAAGCAGTAATCTCAAAATAGATATTCCAAATGTTTGTTTGAAAGCTTCAGTAAATCTTGTCTGAAAGAAGGATAATTCAGTGGGAAGTTTGGTAGGTGAGGGGAGCTGCCATCTCGAAAATCAACTTATAATTCGAAATATTAAAACTCATAATTTGCATACCTGAATATTCCTTAGCATGGCTCTAGTGTTACACGTTTCAACCACTTTGTGAGTTTCTGGTTTTAGCCYCCCCCTTTTTCCTTCACAACCACTATTCCCCCTCGTGAAGAAATATATATTACAGAAGTGAATAAACAAAAACAGGACAACCGACACGAGAGAAAAACGTCTGCGCATGCTCTGAATCCGTATGCAAAGTACTCAAAACATGTGTAAATTTGACTTTCAAACATGCCTGATAAATAAGCCTGAAGCGAGATGACGTTTTACCCCCGTCTCTAGACCATAATCCTTTTCACACTGCTTTTGTTCTTTAATTATGACTATTGTTCCTGGACAGAGCGGAAAAACCGGACGCATGCGCATTAGAGACTATTTTCATGAGCAATCCAATATGGCGGACGAAAGAGGTAAAAATCTGTCTCTAGGAAAATTGCTCTAAAAACGGACAAAAACGCAGCAATGACACTCAAAACTTTTGATCACAACTCGTAATCTGCCACAGTACTTGATCTTGGTAGTTCTTTTGAAGCTTGTGGTCGACTTGACGCCAAAATAATGAATTCTTCGACTTGATTCAGAAGGACTTCGATCGCATCTCCTAGTGTTCGATGACAAGTGGAGAATCTTCAAATATAAGGACAGATATGGATATATAAGCTTCATACTTCGGCAAAAGAAYGATAACTGAATGAACTTAAACATATCAAATAGCATCCGAAAAATTTTGATASCATTTTTCAAACGAGGCATTTGAACTCACGACACGTGGGCCGAACAAGCGTAAGTTTACCTACACTGTTTTGCTTGTTCAGTCRTAACCTGCAGATTTATCCTTGGCAATTATTTCGAAATATCTGAGTTATTCGCTACTACSTACCAAATGATGATCACTCTAATGAAATTCTCTGACAAAAACGTCGATCAAGTGATTCACGAAACTGCTGAGTTGAGTAATAAGCATTTTCTCTTGGAGGGTTCGCGTCGTCGTCGTTATCATCGTCATCTTCTTCGTCGTCGCTTTCGGCATCATCATCATCTTCGACCTTTAGTAATCCAGCATTAAAAGTGCTAGACAGAGTCTGGACTTTGAGTAGCAGACGAGGATGGCATATAGGGCAGTTGCGAGGAGCGCGAGCAGGCATGCAGAGGACGTGGAAGGAAWGTCCACAAGTCAGGGTTAGTGTGTTGTCGTCTTCGGTTTCGCATTCTGCTAAATCACATGCTTCTTGTGGGTCGGGTTCTTCTTCTCCCAAAGCATATCCAAGTGGCAGACTTCTTTGGTCCACAGTGGCATCAAAGGAAGGTAGGTAATATGGCTGTTAAAATTCATGTAAAATCAAACAATTAATTACAGTGTACGTAATTGTTTGTGTTTGTAATATAAATACTTAAAACACAAACTCGTCTTACCTGAAATTTTTTTCTCCCTTTGGGTAGTTTTACTGTACCATCTC